TTAGATATGTGCTTCCTTTTTTTCACATGGTCGAAGTCTCGGTCTATTGAGATTAAGTGCAATCGCATTACTTATTTTAAGTTAAATTTGCTTTTATACTTTGTTTTTGTAGCCACTTACGTTGAGAAATATGTTTCACTTAAACACAATGCTCTGAATGGCATAAAAATGTGTATAGATGTGTGAGAAAATCAGTGTATTATGCTGAGAGAGAATTTGAAACCTAAAATTTAGAAGCTGTTCTTGCTTAAATTTAGATTTTAACATCAACTCTGTTAACATGTTGTTCGTTTTCGTTCATTATTGGTGTGGTTCTCCTTAAAATGTAAAAAGATGCATTTTCCATTAGAAAAGTATTTAGTTTGCACGGCATTTTGCTAACTAACAAGTATAAAATTATCTCGTGGAACCCAAGATAGTAAACAATAGAATATCCACAATCTGGTAGGAAGTTTATATAAATTAAACTTTTTTTATTATTTTATAATGTTTAAAAAGTGTTGCAAATAAATTAAATTTTCAGTTTTAATGAATAGGCGAGGGGGGGGGGAGAAGGTGATGAGCTTTAGATACTTGTAACTTATAAACTTCCTAGAGAACGTGAATCCATTTTGCATACATATTTATTTCTTCTAGATTTCTTATTATGACTCGTGGAACCCCTGAGTATGCCTTGTGAACCTCAGGGTTCCATGGAACACAGTTTGAAGACCACTGCTTTAGGATGTTTAACCCTCAACCCGAATGAGCAGTCAATGTGGAGGAAATAGCAATCGAAATTCTTACTATACAATTCATTTTATACAATTAAGTTTTAATCTGCTCCACATCGATGCAGTGGCATAGGTGATAGCGCATTTTTTGTTATCGGTCAGGGTTCGAGTGGCATGGTAGACTTGATTTTTTTCCAATTCGTTTAATTATTTTTACAATTAAATAATTTTTCCTATCAAATATTTTATATTTTTACAAAATAATTGTAATAATAAAATATAAACAATCTTACATATTATAAAACTATTTGAAATTATTTTACTTTTTAAAATAACAAAATACTGTAATAAAATATCATTTAATATAATATATTTTTATAATAAATATTATGTTAATAATATTATAATAATTATAATATCATATTAATAATATAATATATTTATAAAATATAATATAAATATTTATATAATTATAGTAATTGTTTTAGTTTTAAAATATAAAATAATTATATAAAACATTTATAAGCCTTTTTAAATAAATTTATTTAGTTGTAAAAATAATTATTTGAATTGGAAAAAAAAAATCAAGTCGATCGCGCGATTCGAGCCCTGGCAGACTGCACGGAACGCATATGTACTACCATCTATGCCACTGCATCACTGGAGCTGAAAAAAACTTAATTGTATAAAAATTAAGTACGAATTTCGATCATGGATTAGCTATTTGTTTTTCTTTTATAATTGTATGTATTTAAAAGTTGTTCAAGAGTACTCACAACCATTTTAATAAAATTATAACTTAAGATCATTAATGGTTTTTTTGCCAGGTGCGCTGTTAACTTCTTAGCCATGATGCAAAATGATCATAAGAAAGGCAGTTTTTTTTCTTCTTTTTTGGAATATAGTTTACAACTGTTATGTCTTCCGTAAAATAAAATAATCAGCTGTTAATTCTTTATTTGGCATTTTTTCAGGAAGTTCTGGTATATTTTTTTCAAATGGTGCCAAGCAAAGGTTAGCCTAAGTTCTAAGATGTGAAAAAATTTTCTTATCTAATGTTGTACCCGAATACCCATAAAAGAGATCACACACTACTCGCATTCCTTTATTTGTCTCTAACTTCGATCATTGTTGTTTTCAGTGTAAACTTACGTTTTCAGTACATATGAAGAATTACTGCACATAAACTCCATATTTTGATCACATATTTAAATGGCTTACTTGGTATATAGTGTTGGAAATTCATCGGTCACGAAAACCTTATACATGTTTATCTACATAAATATTTTTATTCAGATTACATAATTTGGTCAAATTCTATTTTTCTATCTCACATTGCCGCTAATTTATTTAATTTTCTTCTCTCTTGATGAGTGGATTTATAATCAAACTGAATAATTTTCGACATGGTGCAAACTGCTTTGAGAGACATTGTCACATGAAATATATTTCTGCCAGGTTCTTTATCCCATAAGTTTTATGTTGATTCTACTTATGATTTAAAAACAACAGCTACTAATAATAATCCAATATATGCTTGAAAACTTTTACTTTCGATATTTTTCACTTTTTTACATATACATTTTTACCTTCAATATTAGTGAATTTTATGATTTCGTTTTCCATTGTAGAATAACTACATCAAAGGCACTTTTTACGCCTGTTACTCTTGCCATTGCATTTCTTGTGACCCCTGTTGTAGTGTGTATAATATTAGCGGCAGTTGATTGAGAAGAATGGGCAGTGATTCAGAGAAAGCCTCCGCTTGATTTTACTATTCTTGGACTGCATACTCTCTTAAAAATTCATTGTGATTATCGGTATAAAAATCGTTGTCAAAACTTTCAGTCTCAATTTCATCACTTTTATGATTTTCATACTTGGATACTTCTTCTTTGTTGCTTCAATTAGCTTAGCTATAACAGAGGGACTCAAAGCTATGCAATTAGCCATTTTATTAACTGGCTTTTATGTCTGTCCAGTGGAACTGCGTAATTGATTTTAAACTAATTTCCCGATGACCTGGAGACTTGAAGTTAGAACCATAGCTCAGAAGTGGATAACAATGCATGATAATGTGAAAGCAGAAATTCTAGTCTTGAACCGGGCTCCCGAAGTGATGTGCCTTGATTTCGATAAATAACCCAGCAACTCCGGAATTTACAAGAATTTACAGGAACAAAGATGGCATGTCGATATCACGGGTCGAGTGGCGTCTACGTAAACAATTTCGTGGCTCTGGAGTCACAGAGGGCCCTCAGATATTACCATGTTTTTATTAACTCACTTTCTTGTATTTCTTTCTAGGTGAAATTTTGTAATTGATTTTAAACTAACTTCCCGATGAGCTGGAGACTTGATATTTGGACTATAGCTCAGAAGTGGATAACAATGCACGAAAAATGGTTATAAAAACATGATGCATAAAATCATTTATTTTATTACGAAAATTTATCTCTCCCATTCTCAGGCACAACTTCTTTACTGTATATCATCAGAAAGTGAAATGCAGAAGAAGAAAAAGAGAAACGTAACAATAAAATCAATTTGTTTGCCCCAAACCCCTGCCAATCGTATCAGCTGTTTGACCTTGCAAGTAGTATCTTATGATGTGCCCAAACACATACATCAGTGAAACAAGTTTTGAAAACAAATAAATCAGTGAAAATATTATTTTTGCTTACCTTTAATATATTTAAAAAAAGTTAACTAGTATGAGTAAAAATAGAATATTTTGGAAGATTTTTTTCGCATTAGGTCATATTGACTGAAACAATACATAAGATATATATTGAAAAATATTCCCCTGAAATTCAAATAAACATAAATTCTTCAAGGTGTACATATTTATACTGTTTATCTAAGATGTCAAGAAGTTCCATGAAAAAAAATCTGCGTTATATATATTGTTATGAGGGTATCAATTTTATTTTAGGCCATATAGACCCGAAAAAGATCAACAGGATTCATATAAAACGCCTTAATTCAAACATTTTACATACACACATTTTCACAAAGAAAAAATTACATTCATATAATGCCTATGTAGTATCCTGCTTTAATTATCAGGCATAATTTTGTATAGTTATTTTTTTCTTTTTTTGAATAAGATTATTTATTCAATCACGATTTTAGTTTTTGCTTACAAAGAAGTTTGGGTGGATTTTTATTTGTAAATTCACTTTTTACAAATGAAATTTGATCTAGCTTTTAATTCTTGACATGCACAAGAGATATATCTATCGAAAGGTAATACAGCAAAGAAAAGAGAAAAGAAAAATTAAGAAACACGATAGATCGGTTATTTTGGGGGTACCAAGTCACCTTAAGCTCTGATTTTAAAAAATGCACTAATATCAATCCTTCATCTTTATCGAAATAAAAATTGAAATCCCCGCCAAATATGAGAGTATATATTATATATATATATTAGAGTAATAAATATATATATACGAGGCATGTTTTTTAAGTAAGTACCGTTTTGCGATTCCGCCGCCGCAGCGCTCCGGTCGGCGTTCCGCGCATGCTCGCTGGTTACCTACATCACTTGTCTACGCACTGACGCCATTACAGTCTGATTCGTCATTGTATACGTTGTGATGGGTGGCTTGGAGGCTGGAAGGCTTAGATGCTGATCGGGTTTTAAGATGGTCCCTAAGACACATGCAATTTGTGTGTATTCCCCTTGTTTCTTGTTGACAGGATGTTGTCGCATTCCTGAGTTGGGGGGGTCACAACGGCTGGTTAGCAAAGTTGAATGAACTCATAATTTGGAAGAGTCGTCGCGAAATTTGTGACTCTGCGCTTGGTTCCTGACCAATGGCTAGGCGGGACCAAAAGGGCGTGCGGATGAAAAAGGGGGTAATTTGCCTCCACTTAAAAGGAGGAACCGGGACATTTCTCGGCAGATTTTACACAGATTTACAGAGATGTTAGAGAGAGATTTTACAGATTAGTAGAAGACAGATTACCATGATTTCAGATTAAGAGAGTTAAATTTAGGCCGTCCAAGTACCACCAGCTCCATGCCTCCGTTTCAGATAAGTGGAATGTTGTAGTAATTTTATTCATAGAAATTAATAGTGTATTTATTTATCCTAGTAATGTTTTAAAATTAATAAAAGAATTTGATCTAATTAAATTGAATTATTCATTTAATCTCATTGTTTTTTAATTGAGTTTTAAAGTACTAACCACTAAATATGATGCAGACATAAGTTAAATTAATCGAACCTGCGTAAGTCATAATATGTTAAATTAATGAAGTAATTGTAGCGCTGCATCATCTGGTGCCGTGACCAGGATTCGAACCTGGGTTATTGCGGCCACAACGCAATGTACTAACCACTATACGATCTTTGAATACCGTCGCCGATCATTTATCTCGTTATGTCAACATTATTACTTTGGCTTTACCTGATTCTGGTGATCTAATACAAATGCAGAAAAACGACGAATCGTTAAAAGACATCCTACAAAAAATTAATAATAAAGAATTTAGCCCACGAATTAGCAGTTATTTTATTAATGAGGAGGGAGTGCTATGTCATTTTTCTAAGCGCCCAAATAGGTCACCAGAACTGCCATGAGAAAACAAGTTTGTGTTCCTCATTGTCTTAAAGCGAAAGTTTTGGAATCAATTCATTCGGAATATGGAGGGCATCTTAAATTTTTTAAGACTTATCAGAGACTTAGCGAAAATTTTTTTTGGCCTAATATGTACAAGGATGCTAAGAATTTTGTTCGTTTCTTGCATCAATTGTTTAACTCGAAAAAAACGCTTTCAATATTCCACTAGCCCCACACCAGCAATGGAACAGAGCCATTTGCCAGGTGAAACTTGTCATATTGATATTTGTCTTAAAAACCACGCTAGCGGAATATTATGTCCTTTCCATGATAGATGCATTCACCAAATACATTCATATCGTTCCACTTCCTGATCTTAAGTCCAGCACCATATCTAAAGCTTTCTTTGATAATTATATTGTACACAGGGCTGCCCTCATAAGTTGGTTGTCGATAACGCCACTTATTTTAAAAGTTCTGAGTTCCTGGAATTTTGTAGAGTCATGGGTATCCAGAAACGACATATTTCAACTATTCAGCTCACGTAAATGGAAGAGTAGAGAAGCCAAATCAATCGCTGGCTAACATCTTGCAGCAATCACTCATGACACAAACGACTGGGATGAACAACTCCCTCACACTATGTTAGCTTTAAATTCAGCTATTCACGAGGCCACTTTCACTTCACCCTTCTTTTTAGAACACGGCAGAGACATTCGTCTGTCGTACACATATCAAAAGAGCTCTGATACATCACAAAATACGTATGAATACGTCGAAAGACTTTTACCTCCATTAGAGAATATTTTTCAGAAAGTCCTAGATAATTTAAAAAATCAAGAAGCATCGCACATCGCTCTTAGCACAAAGAATACAAAGTCGCATCATTACGATTATCAAATTGGTTCTTTATGTTTTATCAGGACACCTAACCT